CAAATGCGCTTTACACAATTGATGTGTGTATGGATTGCGATCACAGTTGTATGAGCCCCTAATAAAATGTTAAAAAAAAAAAGATTCCAAAAATTTAAAAAAAAAAGAAGACTGCTCACTGGTCTTGGACGAAGTACAACCGGGAGGCTCCTTGGAAGTGAGGGTGGAGAGGCCTGTCTCACAAACTTCGGGCCAGTCCCTAGAGAAGGCCGCCATGCTTAGTAGAGGCCGCCATGCTTAGCCAGTGCGAAGGGGGGAAGACCCTCAGCAAGGTGGATCGACACGGTGGCTGCAACAATGGGTTCCCATACAGCGACGATGGCGAGGACGGCGCAGACGGAGACAGTGTTTCATTCCGTGTGCGCAGGGTCGGTGGCAGCCAGCAGCAATGCGGTATCCGATGCCTATGTCATCACTCTCGGTGTATGGAAGAGAACTCTGGGATCAGAGTTCCAGCAAGTGGCCTGTGGTCACACAGCTAGTGGGGACAAAGCTAGGATTTGAGCGCCTGTCTTTCTGATCCTAGCTGGGGCACGATATCACCTGGGCAGGAGAGGAGTCTGCCAGGGTTCTTAACTGTGTGACCTTAGCAGGTTGCTGGACCGCTCTGCGAACTCTCAGGACACGAGGTTGTAGAGGCAGGTCCATGAGCCCTTCTGAATCGGACACAGAAAGGGCCACTAGGCATTTGTGTCCCATGCCACGACGTCCTTCCCTGTTGCAGGGTCAGATGCTCAAATCTGGTTCACGGGAGAGTGGCAGGAGGGGGGAAAGAAGCACGCTAGCACCTCCATTTGTCTCCAAACCCAAGGAAATGTCATGTTCATGGGCCCTTCACACCTGTGCCTTGTCCATGCTGGCCTCTCTGCCCAGAATCCCTTTCTCCTTCCCGCTTTGGGGATCCCACCAAGCCCAGTGTTAATGGGAGGGAGTTGAATTGCTCGAGGGCTCTGTCAATTCCCCAGGCCAAATAAATAGCCACCGGGTCCCCTGAGACTTGGGTGGGAGGGCACTAACTACCAAGGAGTGTGGGCTGGAGACACCTGCACTGCGGGGTACATACTGTTTATTGCATAAGTGAACCAGCACTCTGTCACCTGCAGGGGACGGTTGTGAGCCTTCTCCACTGGAATGTAACAGCAATCCTTTGCAATACAAAAACAAGCAAACAAAATCCACTGCTGTGGAGTCAATTTCCACTCACAGCGACCCTATCAGCAGCATAGAACTTCCCCTTTAGGTTTAGAGATTTTAAATCTTTATAGGAGTCAGCAGCCTCATCTTTCTCCCATGGAGCAGCTGGTGAGTCCAAACTGCTGACCTTGTGGTTACCAGCTCAGTGCGTAGCCCCCTCCGCCACCAGGGATCCTTTCCTTTGCAATGGTTACTAATGTTTAGGCCCGTTTTATATAGGAATCTGCAGCACAGAGAGGTTGTTGAGTTTGCCCAAGATCACACAGCTAAGAGGTATGAATCTGGGCCCACCTCACTCTCTTGTTCCTACCAGGCTCCCTCCCGAAATCCCACCGGGTTCACTTTGTTCCTGGCGTGACCTGGGTTTGAACTCTGTGATGATGCCTGAGGCTGGTCCAAGGGTCCTGCTGCCTCCTGACAGGCCCGGGCAAGCTCAGCATCCTTCACAGCGCCCTGTGTGCGCAGGGGACTGTGGGTTGACGAGCTCGTTTTCTACGGCAGCTGTTGTTTTCGATCTGAGGGTGTGAGACTTTGAGATATGGCATTCAGCACTTATTAAAATACAAGCGGCTTCAAAGGTGATTCCAAATTTTACTGCCTGATAGCAGCGCTGGCTTGTCGAAAGACAGGCTTCCATGTTTTATTAACTGTCACCATGGCAATTTCAAAGACATTGGTTACGCCGAGAGAGTACCTGACACTTCTTATTCATAATGGTGCTGGCAGGTCCCAGGCAGGCTGATCTATGGCTTTTAATCAACTCATAGATGGGGTCTCTGGGTACAGATTCACAGTGTTCAATCTTGTTAGAACAGAAGGGATCCTATGGGCTCAGAGCTGTCCCGGCTTCCGGCCCTGGAACAGAGCCCTCCTGGGCAGACAGTGATAACACGGCCCTCTCCAGTCCAGTGGAAGCAGCGGCAGCCCCTATGGCCAGCCTGCTGTGGCTGGCCAAGTGTCCATCCCTGCTCCCCCACCCTGCAGCTTCCCACTCAGCCGGGCGGGTAGAGGGGTCACATCTAGATGGGCATCCAGGACAGTAAGAGAACAATGCTTTAGAGCCCCTGCTCTGCCCCCTGGTTGCTGAGTGGCTTTGGGAAGCTTATAGGACCCCACTAAGCCTCAAGTTATTCCTCAACAAAATGGGGTGTTACTGCAAAGATTCAACTGGTGGGGCATTGAAGCAGCAGTCCCCGAGTGGTGCAAAGAGGGATCCTCTCAGCAAACCAAGAGGTTGGTAGTTTAGAGCTGCCCGGGGTGCTGTGGAAGAAAGGCCTGCCTGTCTAATTCCAAACGATCACAGTCAGTGAAAACTTCATGGGGTTAAGTTCTACTTGGAAACCCATAGGTTGCCGTGAGTTGGAATGGACCCCCAAAGCCACAGGTTCCGGCTGCTTTAAAGCACTTGGCATAAGGTTGGGTGCAAATTCTTGATGGCTACTAACTGCTGCTGCCCACATTCTCTAACTCCTTCCTCTCTGCCTCCCCACTGCCCAGGCAGCGTCGTGCCCGGTCCAACCTCCCCTCTCTCCGGAGTGGGATGGGAAGTACTGAACCCTCTCTGGGTCCCCCAGGCACTGTTGAGGGTGTTTTACTTGAGTTCTGTTACCTCCTTGTCTCAGCAAACTGTGGGGGAGAGGGGGTTCGCTGGAACTTGACCTTCGAAGAGGATCAGAAGAGGGACTTCTGTAAGGTGACTCGGCCAGCAAGGGCAGAGCTGGGACCGGATGGCAGTTGGTTCTCATGCCCAAGCCCACACCCTCTGGACAGTCAACAGGACTGGCCCCTGAAGAGAAGCCCATTGAGACTTGTTTGCCACCCCGCCACCCCACCCCCACACTTGTTATAACTACCTCTAATTCAGACCCCAAGGTTAGCGGTGACCTAACGTGGGGCACGACAGACAGTTGTGTGGCGTGGAAGCTTGTTAGTCCTGGACACTCACAGCCCGGAGAGGAGGACACGGCATGCCAGGCAGGGTCACGTGGGTTCCACTCGGGGACAGAGTGAGCAACTCGGGACAGTGGGCGGCGGGCTCTGTAGTAACAAGAGGACACGGTGCCCCTGGGTTCCCAAGAGAGGACGTGATTGTCTTGTGTGAATAATTCCATGAGCCAGCAGGGAAGTGAATGAACCCCACTCTTTGGGGATAAGGAAGGAACTGGGCCTGGTCTCTGGCAAGGAAGGTGATTCGGCTCCGGGACCTTATCCAGGGGAGGGGAGTTTATGGTTAGGTCATTTGTGGGCCTCCCGATTTCAGCGGAAGTCACAACAGCCCAAATCTTGGCCCTTGATATTAACCCAGAGACCACACGGCTGCCTGTGGGCATGCGAATCCAAGCCCCTGGCTGATGCTTCACAGGGACAAGGTCATGTAGCACCCAGCCTTCCTCTGCTGGGGTCCCTGGGAATGAGGTAGTTTCCCTTTATTCAGCCACTACCCGCTGCTTGCCGAACCCTGGGCTAGCTCCTAAGGCCCGTTTGGACAGGGACCCTGCCTCCTACAGTACTTTTCCCAGTGCTCCGCCCCAAATCATAAACCACCTAGTAATCATAATCATCGCTGCTGAGCCCATGGAGGACTGAGAAGATGTCAGGGACCTTCAGGCTGATCACCCTATGGAGTCATCACCCTTACTGTCCCCGGTCTAAACCAAACTCCACAACCAAATTCACTGCCATTGATGGATGCCAACTCACAGCCACCCTCTGGGACAGGATAGAACTGGCTATGCAGGTTTTCAAGACTGTGACCCTCCACGGGATTAGAAAGCCTCATCTTTCTCCTGAGAAGAGGCTGGTGGTTTCGAACTGCTGACCTTGGGGTTAGCAGCCCAACACATAGCCACTACGCTCCTATTCTATCCTCATTATACAGATTCTATCCTCATTATACAGGTAAGGAAATCGAGGTCCCAAGGCATGACATAACCTGTCTGCAGCCACATGTTAGCCAGGCAGTAAGGAGCGGGAAATTCAATCCCAAACCTTCCGAATCCAGAGCCTCCTTGTGTTGCTGCCGAGAAGCCCAAGTACACTCACTCATGGTTTACATTCTTTTACTCACTTACTCACTCATTCAACAAACCTTAACTCACGTGGCAGCACCAGGGCATCCGCAGTGAAGGAAACAGCTAAGCCCCCTGCTCTCGGGGAGCATCTAACGGAGAGGGATAGACCAGCGCTTCCCAGCGTGAGCAGCGGTGCCACGATCCAGGTGAAGGCCCAAGCAGATGCCTATACTTTATCCTGGATTGTGGGCTAGAGGACAAAAGCGCTTCAATTGCCAGGGGAAGCGCTAAGAAGTGTTCTTTCTGAAAGGGGGCAGGTAGGCCACACAGTGTATGCTTGAGGCTGCTTATTGGAAGGTCAGCCATTTGAAACCACCGTGAGAAACAGGAAGCTTCGTCTCCCATGAAGACGTACAGCCTTGGAATTCCATAGGAGTTGTTCTACTCTGTCCTATAGGGTTAGTCGGTGTCACAATTAACTGAATGGCAGTGTGTTAGGGTGGACTAGAGAAACAAATTCATAGATACGTGTATAAGAAAGGCTTTTATATGCAAGAGCAATTGAGTATTGAGAAATCATCCCAGCCCAGTCCAAATCAAATCCATAAGTCCGATATTAGTCCATATGTCCAATACCAATCTATAAAGTCCTCTTCAGACTCACGAAACACATGCAATGGCGCTGAATGCAGGAAGATCACAGGCCAGTGGGTGGGAAATTTTGTGGATCCAGTGGTGGTAGAAGCATCTCGGCACTGGCATAGGTCACCACGTGGCTCCTCCAGCTCCAGGACTCTAGCATAGCTCCATGTGTCTTGTCAACAGGAACGTCTCACAGGGAGTGAGTTTGTGTCCCACCTCCAGCAAGCTATTTATCTCCATAGCACCTTCAAATGAGATCATCAAGCTGCAACCTGATTGACAGGCTAAACTCCATCTCTTCACTCTTTAAGTCTCAAACTGACAACAGGTTATGCGACTACCACAGGCAGTGATGGTATTTTTGTTTGGTTTGCTTTGTTTTGAATGAAATAGACCATAAACCAAATTAAAAATGAAATACATAGTGTGGTGGTTACATAATTTCATGTCAACTTGATAAATAGAGTGAAGGGGTGGAGTCTAGCCTGTCAATCAGATCACAGCCTGATGATGCCTCTTTGTGGGTGTGGCCTTCTCATGAGGATTCTGGGAACTTCCTCTCATTCTCCAGAGG